TTATCAGACTTGAATTTTTTCCATCACTTATCATCTGCTACAGATTTTAACACAACAACAATCTGAATAAAGTGTACTTTGTTGTTTCAGAGGAGGCACAGAGTCTACAAGGTATGCAGTCCAGCTAATCAATGCTCTCATCCAAGACCCGGCCAAAGAACTTGAGGATCTGATCCCTCGGAATCACATCAGAGCCCCAGGCTCTAAAACGACCTCAGCTTCCTTCCCCAGTACCACAGGGGCCACCAGTGGTTCAGCTACTGGACCAAAGGCTCTGAGCTCATTGGTCTCTTCCACAGGTGTCTCGTTCCAGCCCTCCTCATCCTCGTCTTCATCCTCTTCTCAGGCAGGGGGAAAGATTGGGAAGGGGCTGTCATCAAACATCAGACAGCCTTTCTCTGTGTCTTTGCCCTTGGCGTATGCCCACCCTCAGCTAGCCCTACTGGCTGCTCAGACCATGCACCAGATCAGACACCCTCGTCTACCCATGGCCCAGTTTGGTGGCACCTTTTCTCCTGCTGCCAGCACCTGGGGACCCTTCCCAGTGCGTCCTGTAAGTCCCAGTAGTGCTAACAGCTCCCCCAAACACAATGGAGGAACCAACAGCAGTGGAGGTCAGGCCCGACCCAACTCAACACACAGTGAGCACAGCAGCACAGCCAGCTCAGGAGCCCCAGTCACGACAAACAACACCACCACCAGCAGTGCTCCAAACACATCTACAGCCGCTGCCTCATCTCATATGCCTAATCCTACCCCATACAATCCCCAGCCAAGCGGCTCCACCCATTCCACTGTCAGAAAACAGCTTTTTGCTCCTGACGGTGTCACACCTGTGTCCATTGCAGCCACTGCTACAAATGGCAGTAATGCAGTACGAGGAACAGGTTCCCCTGCACATCAGAGTTCCACTACTGCTAATGCCTCTCAGCAGTCAGTTGGACCTATCTCACAGCCCCTCATCCAGCCAGCTAAAACAGAGCCCAGTGTTGTTGCACCTCCTGGAAAAGACAAGCCCTCTCTACCTGTAGAGAACCAGCCTGTTTCTGTCAGTGAGAGCATCACCTCAGTGGGTTTCACTGCCCCGGCCATGGCATTACCTCTCAAGCCAGAGCCTCGACAGCAGTTACCTCCTCCTCCCTCTTCTGTACCATCAACAGAGGCTCCACCGCCTCTACTCCACGC